CAATCACAGACACAAAACTCTGACTAACACCAGTTCTGTTTAGGACGGCAGGGAATCACATATCCTGTTTGTCACATTTCTGACCATGGACATTGTTTTTGCTACATTTATGTACCCTTCGTAGCATCTTAGGTGGTCCATAAACAGTTTGTTTTCAGCTTCCACCCACTCATCAGCCAGCTGGGTCGAGCTGACCTGCTTGCTTGCTAGTTGGCAGGAACAGAGAGTTCTGGTTTCCAGCTCTGATAGGAGTCCTACATAATGATGGCTGTATTTCAGGCTGCTTACTCACAGGATGAATCATTTACCAGTGACTCAAAACAAAGCGCGGGGTTCAGAAGATACTACCTGTACTGCCACCTCGTTCGTATGCTCATATAGAAATAAAGAGGTAGATTTGGAGACAGAGATAGGACTTTAACAGCACGCTTTATGCATGAATGCAGTTTGTCAGGTTTTTATCAGTGTTGATGTGCAGCAGCCCTCTTCTCCATTAATGGACTCTGAGCCTTGCATCTTCCAGTCAGGACGAACATGTCACATGACTCACAGAAGTGTGTGTATGCATGTACAGTACACCTGGCCTGCACACATATTTTCACCCGGGGCATTTGGGTCATTTCAGGCACTTTTCATGTTATCTGTGACATGCATGATGGACAAAGTGACTGTGCAGGAAAAAGCATTTTTATGCATTGAGAAATTTGACTGATTGGGAACTTTGAGCAAATTATGAGCAGTCCCAGCTGAGTAACAAAAAAAGTGCTCTTTCTCCCTTTCTCTCACGCTCAGTAAGTTTACTTAGCTACAAGCAAAGCTGAGGGACAGACAGGAAGTTATTTTTGTTGCTGCCAATGACATTGAACCTGACTGAGCTGTTATCAGTTTCTGATAAACTCTGGGTTTACCTACCTGCTTAGAATAGAATTCTATTAACAGAAACGCCTGCGATCAATAGCCAAAAAAAGTTTTCCAAGAATTGAAAAAAACAACATATGACTGATTGAGCTCATGCATTATTACAACTAATGAATTAAAACTTGAAAAGGTTTCATGCACTTTGTGATTTACTATATGAACAAACAGCTTCCACATAACAACATATTACTGCAGTGTAACTGCATGATTACTGCATTTCTAATATATTTGTGTTTATTTGTATTTTATGTAATTTTCAGATAGAATTTTATGCATTTATCTTGATTTTACTTGGCTTGTTATTGTGTAAAACAGTAATAAATAATTGTGTATTTATTGTACAAGAGGCTTGTATTAGTTTCTGTACTTATTTTTAAAGAAAAATAACTCAAATTAGAGGAAAAGCTGATCAGATCAATTTCCGAAATCTGAGAAACCCCGGAAAATTATTCCGTGACCCCCTATCAGGGTCGAGACCTGCACTTTGATCCCTGTTTCTCCAGCTGTAACTGTACAAGCTTTGCTCCACATATAATTAGACACCTGAGTAGCAGTTTTTTGTTTACCAGGCTCATTTCTCAGTGATAAAGGAAGAATAAAAGGGTCAGCATGTGAAATATTTTGCTCTTAGTTGTACATTTTAAAGATGCGCTTTTGTTGCAAGATAAAGTCATATTTAATGTTGTTTATTACCATAAATATTGGGTACCCAATTTTAAGACATTTATGGCTAATGCTAATTACAGTTTAAAGTCATTTATGTGTATATTTAGTTGGTTGTTTTTAACTTTTGTCTTCCATATAGGTTAATTTCTCCATTTTTGTTTCTTCTGCAGCCTTTCCCAACAGAAGATGGAGAGGAAAGGTGAGTTTTTGGAAGCCCCGATTTCACACTTTTCACACTTGCTTAGTAGTTTTGAACTGAGGTGACCTTTGGTACATTCCCAGTAAAAGGCATACAGGGGTGCATATGTTGTTTCTAGGAAGTGCCCAATGGGCTTTGTGTGCATACGTGTGTGTTTTATAGCCTGTTAGCTGGTTGTCATAGGCATTTAAGCAGTTATTTATGTGTGTGTGTGTGTGTGTGTGTCCACTGCAGCTCGGGCATGAAGAGACAACCTTTCAGTGATGATGAGTTCAGTTCACCCCCAAACAAGATGGTGAGAGTGGAGGAACCAAAGAAAGGTACTACGTGTGTGTGTATTGCTGTAGTGTAATGCTTTGACTATTCACATGCTGATCTTTGAGTGATGCTCTTCTCAGGGGCTTAATCAGTGTGACAAAGTGTGTGCACATGTGTGCGTGCTGTGATTGGCCCCTGATATGTGAGGACAACGCGTACACTCTCCGGGCCATGTGATCATTCCAGGTCTTTCAAAACATGCACACATGCCCAGGGCCTCCACTGACCCAACAGCATACCACTGATCACTGCGTGCACACACACACGTACAACAAGCCTGTGCCCTTTACCCCAGATCCTTCTCATAGGTATGAAACAAGTTTTTTTTCAGTGCTGCAATATGTAAATAGATACTTCAAGATTTGTTAGAGGTAGAAGAGGAAAGTCGGGCATCACATTGGGCATTTAAAAAACCACAATTGATGTGTCAACAGATACTTCTGTTGCCCAACATAATGTATATTTTTTCAGATTTTTCTTGTGAAAAAGGTGAAAGAGATGGATACTTTCATGCTCTCATCAGGCTTCAACTGAACAATCTCAGAAACTAAAATCACAAAAAGACATGACTTTATTTTAAGGGGCCACAAGAATTCTCACTTTAAATGTACTCCAAGTTTAACTAAATCCAGTAAAAGGTTTAGGTGACGTTTTATAATCTTTCCATAACAGCTGTCAAGTTTTTTTCAGTTCAAAAACTGGCAATCTTGCGGTGGTTGGGAAGGGATCATGTTGACATCTGAGTGACAGAGAGAATTGCTAATCATGTGTTGAACAGCCTCCTTGGAGAGACTCCTGTCTCAGACAGAGTTATCCATGGCAGCTCCAGACCACAATGAGCAAAGCGAGACTGTAGCCTGTATATTCTGTAGCATTAAGAAACCAAGCATCACCATACAGTCACTTACCACACTGTGAAAACTCCTGTGCACATAGTTAATAGAAAACAGAAGGAGTTTCTGTTGTTTCTAAGGCCACAAATATCAAGTTCCTGCAACAGGTTGGAAAACAATGTGAGAAAATCTATTTAGAGCATCTATTTTTAGAAGACTGAGTGTAGTGAATGAGAGGGGGGTCTGTCCTTCCGTTTGTGTGTGTTTTCCAACCATGTATGATGAATGTGCTTTCTAGGTGTGCTTTGTCTGGGCCCATTGCCACCAATGCCACTTTTTTGAGTATGTATGATTGCCCAAGCAGGCCTGCCGCATTACAAGGTATATCTGCAAATCTACCAATGGATTAAACATATGTGTGCGTGTGCTTGAGCTCCACCATTACGAGATTGAGATGGCAATGCTGTAAAGCCACAAATCCTAAAAACCCACACACATGAACCAAACCAGCAGTCAAGCTGTTCTGCCTGACGCAAACACACACTTTTACGCCTGCCTGTGACTTTTGTCTGAGGCTAGATTTGGGTTTGTTTCTGTGTCAAAATCCATGAACATGCATGCTTTGCTTTGATGCCTTCCTGTCTCTTTTCACCACATAGTCCTGCTGTATGTGCGCAAGGAGACAGAGGAGGTGTTTGATGCCCTCATGCTGAAGAATCCCACGCTGAAAGGCCTGGTGGAAGCTGTAAGTTGTCTTTACTTCATTGTACTTGTAGTAGCTAGGATTGCGCCTTTTCTGTTTCATGTGGTCTCGGGCCGTGAATACTGCAGCTTGAGACCCAGTTCTCTCTTGTATGTCTAAGCAGCTACTGCAGGCTAAATGAGCTGTGACAGGACACGGACTCAGGAAAAATGTAGGGAAGAATAAGAACAAGGAGTGGATTTGGAAGAGAGAAGAGAGAGAAAGGGCGTGTGTGAGTTAAAGGGGGGACACAAGGGGGTCGATAAAATCAGGCCAAAAGGGGCATGGGGTGGGGAGGCGTCCTGCGGGGAGGGAAGAAGAGGAGAATGTGGAAAGGTGTGTGAAATGCAAAAGTAACTAGAACAACAGCAATAGGCAGGTGTACGATTACTTAAGGGGTCAGTTTAACATGACAGATGGAGTACAAGGGTCATGTACAGTAATTATGGAGAAGCAACAGTGGAGTTGATAAAAGCTAACCAGGTATGAAGGATTACTTTTTATGTTTCTTTCAATGTCTTTCAACATTGATTTGATTTTTTTCCTTCTCAACCAGATTGCAGAGAAGTACGAATTACCTTTGGATAAGGTTGAAAAGGTCTATAAGAAGTGCAAGAAAGGGTGAGTATGAGTCAGTAACACACTCCTACACTATACTACACTGTCCGACACTTTGTGAAGGACTAAACCTGACTTTCCTGGCAGCTTGCTCAAATAGTTTTACCTCTAATAGGCAAATAAAGCTTAAATGAGGTGTCCTTCAAAATGCAAATAATGAGAGTGTCAATCAAACCTTGGCTTTTCCAGGGAGGTCAAACACAAACACAACACAGCACTCCTTTACACTAATACAAACTGTGATTTTGCCTTGCGTGTTCAAGTATTTAGTTAGTAATTTGTGAGTTAATTGAGGATTAGCAATCAAACTAGCGGATGCTGTGATGCTGTGATGCACTTGCATATTGAAGGTAAAGCCATGGTCTTGAGCAAAATATTTCTGCAGTACAATGAATCAATCGAAATATGCTTAATTCCTGCCTAAAGTTAGATCAGAAGATTTATACCACTCACCTCTGTATTGTAAAATGTAGTAGTAGCCAGCCTCCAGTTAGCTTAGCTTAGCACAAAGCCTAGAAACAGGAAAAGGGAAACAGGGAAGAGCTAGCCTGGCTCTGGTCAAAGGTGAAAAAGAACTAGTAATTAACTAAAACATCACTGTGCAAACAAGACTCCAGGAAGTTACTCTACCAAGAAATGAAGCCCCCTAAACCTCAACCTGATGTTTTTACACTTTGGCTTTTCTACGGAAACGATATACAAACAAGATATAACGTGTTATTTAATGAGCTTTAGAGCTGCTGGTAGGCAGATTTTTTTTAACCAAAGGACAAATTAAGGATAGCTATTTCCCTGTGTTTTAAGCAATCAATAGATAAAATGCGCTGACACAAAAATTAAAACAACCTAGTATCTATGGCTATTGCAAGACTGTAATAAGCACAGCTGCCAGTCATTTCATTCTGCCAGTCATTTCATTTAGGCAGAATGAAATGACTGGCCTACTTACCTGTCTACCTACCTACCTGTGCACACTCTGTCCGTGCACTTGTGCAAGAAAATATGTTTTGGGGGAGTTGCTTTGGAGAGGGAGGGAATTGTTTTTCGTTGGATACTTTCCAAATCAAGCTGTCTCTTGCTAGTTTCTCTAACTTTGCCTACCCCACCTTTTGTCAATTTATTTCCAGGATTCAGGATTTTAGTCTGTGTTTTTTTGGGGTGAGGATAAAAAAATCAGGCTGCTAACACCCATATCTGTTTTATAATAGGATTCTAGTCCACATGGATGACAACATCATCAAACACTATTCCAACGAAGACACCTTCCAGATCACCATGGAAGAGTTGGGTGGCATGTACAAACTCACCCTCACTGAAATCTGATTGGACAGGAGGAAGTGACATCACCCAGAACTGAAGGGTGGAGGACGAATAAAACGGAGCCATCAGGAGTAGTGGTTTACACGTCTAATGATTATGGACTTGATCTGAAACTTACATCACGTTGTCTTTGTGCTGTATTAACATCAAATAGATTTTAAAAGACCACAAGAGGTATTTAAAAGCCATGGCTCTTAAAAGACAGTAATGTTGACATAGACATGTAAGTTATACATTTTGATTCATTTAAAAACCTTTCTGTGCATAGGAAGTGAGGACAGGTTTGATTGTTATGACTCCTTTGTTTTGTATTCAGTAAGTTGCATTTGTGTGCTGAGCATTTGTGGAGCTGCTATACCTCATGCTATGCAAGCAGCAGTGTTTCTCATTTGCTTGAATGAGTAGAAACGGCTCATCTGTCCCTTCCTAAGGCCATAGCACTGATGATTACAATCTGTAAAGTTGAGTTATTTAGCGCACAAAATGAAGAAAGCAAATTGTTGATGGAGCCCCTGTGGTTCAGTGTTTAATACTAAACAACATGGCAGTATTTAGTGTGTAAAATCTTCTACAACCATCCTCCAGTTAGCATAGAATATTGTAAATGTTGTAATTTTTAGCATACGAAACATGTTGTATGTGAGTGAAATGGCTTAAAAGATGTTTCTCAGATCAATTTAAATAATTCGCCTTTTTCTAAGTATTAAATAGTTACTGAATATATTGATAACAATGCTTAAACACAGCGACCCTTCCCCTGTAGAGTAGTTTTCTGAATGTTGATAAAATAGGTCAATGAATGTCTAGCACAGTCCACACAGGCTGTTGTGGAAGTGCAATATGATATTCAGGTTCAGACACATTCAGAAAAAAAAAAAGTCCTCTTTTGCCATAACAACAGTTAGCATATCAACTGATAAAACAGATTTTTAAAATGAAAATGTTGTATATATCCACTGAAAAAAAATATCTATATGATTCCTCCTTTTGTATCTCAGTACTTATTGTGTCTATATTTATTAAGAGAACGGATGTGGGTCATTGTTTTTTTTTACCATATATATCCAAATTTCTATTATTCCTAATAATATAATGTTTTTCCTTTTTATATGAAGTTATTCTAACAACACATGTCAAAGGACAAAAAGTCATTAACATGTTTTTAATTGATGTTTTTTTTTGTAAAGTATTTGATGCACAAAGTGCCCAATAAATACTCTCCGGTAGCTGCTGTAGTTGTCTGAGACTTTTTCTTCCTCATGCGCTCTCATATCATTTGATATTTTTTTATTCTTTTTGAAACGCAGCCTACATATTACAAACTTTCCGTCTTACACTGGATTTGTAATAGCAGGTCTGCCTGTGGTTGACATGTTGAGCTGTAGCAGAGATCAACTGTGCCAGTGTGTCTGTCCACGGGAACAGATGTCTGGGCATCAACCCTAACCCTGTGGACAGGAAACAGGCATGACAGAGCAGCCTGGTACAGAGAAGCTGCTCTGTCGGAAACCTGGCCACACATTTCTTCACACGCCCTTTGATTAAAGTAGGCTCTCATTTATATCCACTGTAAGCTGCTGGCTGCTTGATTTTCTCTAGAGATAGTAATATTAATCAGGTTGTTCTGTTCTTTCTCTAGAGCCAGCATGATGTTCACTTTTGTGGTTTTGAGTGAAATGTCACGACAACATGAAATTTGGTACAGATATTCATGTTCACTTTGGTGATCCCTCAACTTTTCATTGTTCATTTAATTTAATTTAATTTCAAATATTGTTCCAATAGCTTATTTTGAGACCAAATACCTGCAAAAAACTAAAGACATCCCGATCAGCCGATGGTGTCAGAATCATCCTCTGTCTACCCAGCCTGATAAAAGCACAGCACGTTCAGTTAATAGCGTACAAAATACAGCAAGCTGTAACTGATAACTGCTGGGTCCAGGCTACAAGGCTAATGGCACTCGTGACTCCTCTCAGGAAGGACCGGGGCCCAGCGTGCCAGCTGCTTTCTCAGTTCCTGTCTTGATATGTAATAGGAAAAAAATGGTGAATCTGCAAAGAAACAGGAAGTACTCAACTGATTCTGCAAATTTAGAATAAAGTTCTCGTCAGCAAAAACGACCCTGTCACAAAAAATTGGGCAGATAATGTTTTTACCACATAAAATTTATTGTATTTCAGGTCTTTGGCAGGAAAATTGTCTTTAATCAATTATTTTATCATCAATCTTATTTGATGTTTTTAACTGAAACTTGGTTAGACCAAGATAACAGTGCAGCTGTTCTTATCATGTCTTCCCTTCCCAACTAGTTTTATGAGCGAACTGAGATAAGATAAAAGATGAGAACCTAATAAGAAAGGTGGTGATGTTGGCATTTTGTTTAAGGACTCCCTCTGATGCAAAAAGATCATCTGTTGAATTTCTTTTCTCGAGCTACGGATTTCTAAATACCCACAGGCCACCTAAATACTGTTCAAACTTTAACGTAAATTTGGTTTATAATAGGTTTTTTTCATATTATTTATGATACATTTGCAGAACATTTTGTTTACTTGTAGCTCTAACTGTTCACATATTGCAGTTTGCACAAGAAAAGCAAGGCTGACAAATCACATTTCTCACTTCGTCTTTGATGAATGTGATGAGTATATTTCATGTGTTTATTATAATTGTCAGGACTCATGATGCCCCCCGCCTGTAGCACACAAGGCTGCAAACACAGTCTGATAGCTGTACAGGCAGCGTAATAAAAGATGATCCTCTCTAAAGGTTCTGACGTGCAGGTACAGAAAGACCTGACGGCTCATTTAGTTATAATTTAACCAGCTAGCCATGGCAACGTTGCCACGCTGCCCTGCCCTGTAAGTGAAAGGCCATCTGCTCTGTCTCTGTTTTGCGTCTCTCTCATTCTCCCCGTTCTTTTCTTTATTTATTCTCAGGTTTATTCCTGAGATGTCCTTGTTTAAACCCACAGTTGGTGTCAAGATGCAGCTTCTGTCCTCAATATAGATAGATGACTCTAAGCCAGGTCAGGAAGCTGGCCGGGCTCACAACTCAGAAATATGGTCCCTCTTTTTTTCTCCATAACGTTATGTTCAAATGTTGTATATTAACAAACTGGATAGAAATCAAATGATCCCAACTGAAGTGTGGTGTTTGTGAATGGACAGAATAATATGATTATTGGCCAAACATTGAACTCACTAATCTCTGCTAATCTGTCTGCTTGTTTGCTTTTTGTCTGGATTAATTTTTGTCCCCCCCCTTTTAGGACTATTAAATACAAAAAAGTGTGTTGAGAGTGATGGTATTTTTATGGTATTACATTATTTATGTGTTATGTGTTGATACCTGGAATGTGTGTATACGCAAGTAGAATTTTATTAACTTTCTTTTTTATTTAAAGCAACTTTCAGTGAGTTTCAAGACGTGTTCTGGTGTTTTTGCTCTAAGCTGCCCAAAGATTGTTTTCTTTTTTGGGTGTTTTGATGATACAGCTTGCATTTCTGTGGGTGGAGACCTTTTCTTGTGCCACTCAGTGACCATCTTGGAGTCTTTTAATTTGAGCCTGCCACAGCTTTCACAAACTGGAGGAGAGTTGCGAAATATAAAGGTACCTACAGTATATGACAATAAAAGGGCTTTCAATTTGATTCAGTGTTGATGCATCATTCAAACTGCTGGTAAATTATGTTTTTGTATAGATGCTAGCAATCTTTGCTCTGACTCTGCAGTGTTGTTGGTGTAACATGATTTCCAGTCTAGTCACATCACTGTGAAACTACTTTGAACGTTGCATGGTAACTGACTCCCATTTGTTAGGTGGACTGAGCTACAGTATATTCACTCAAAACAGATGACTCATATTTAATCTCACTGCTGTCAAGATCTCAGCATCTGTTACTTTTCTGAGGTTAAATGCTCCACCATTTTGGGTTCTGCCCTGTCAAATTGCACACATATCTGACAGTATAGCATAACCTTGGCAGACCAGACCACAAGTGACCTACTTTGATGCTGTTCAAACATCCCAAGTGCAGCTTTGGTTGCAGCTCTAGTTTCGCACTTTGAGAAAACTAAACACATTCCTCCCTTAGCGCTGTAATCTTCTCAATTTACCTCTGAGATATGTGCTATTCCATATCTGGTATTAGGCTGGAGTCCAGATAAACATTTGCACATGCAGTTTCATGATAATGTCTCATTCGAAGTCTTAAACTGGCTTCATATAGAGAAGTACTCAAATAAGAATTGATTAAATCTCTTTCAATTTCTCCAGCACTCATCCACTCCATCACTAAATCTTTGTATACTTTTTGCAATTACAGCAGTACAGACTTCAAATGCTATTCAACAGGGATAAAAAAGCCCACTCTGTGAGTCAGTATATTCCAGTGTGTCTTTCTATGATTCATACCATTATTTTTTATAGAACTACTCTCCAAAGCAAAAAAATCACTCCTACTATGAAGTTATTCACTCGCCATGTGTGGTGATATAACAGGATGAAATGTCTGTAGATACTGAAAATGACATCTACTGAAGGATCATTTCAATCAAGCACTGAAAATAGACACACACCCACACAGTTAAACCATGACTTTTTACTGTTCTTTCAGCACACTTGCGCCATGAGCTTTGACTGGTAGTGCTATGAGATGTTACATAAATATAATGTGGAGTGTAGAGTCCCCCTTTTAGCAGTCACAACCCACTAAATAAGCACAATGAGGTTTACAATATTCAAAATAAAAGCAATCACAGCTACATTTACCACAGAATTAATTCAACCTTCAAATTTAATAAGTTTCTGCATTACAGAATTAATAAAACAGACTATTACACAAAAGTTGATGCCTCTTAAACACAGAACAAGAATCTAATGAGGTTCAGAAGAATTGCTCATCTATTATTCAACCTCTTGCCATCAGCAGCTTCACACACAAACACACACAAACACACACACACACACACACACACACACACACACATAAACCACATGATAATCTTGCAAATGGTCTGTATATGCTTTGAAGGCTATGCATGCACTTTTAAGCAAGCAACAAATTTTCTCAAGCCATTATTATATGTTCAGTGCTTTATGTGGCAGAATTTCAATTTCCAAACAATATCTCAGACTAATCCGCATTAATAATTCCATCAGGTTACACAGACCAGTGCCAACTTTCTTCTGTTATTGAATATCACAGAACTGTACATTTATGTATATTACACACAGGTTTATACAATTATGGGTATAAAATACAGACGTCAATAGAAAGACCCTGAAGTCCCGAAAGAGAGAGAATATTCATAAGGTATATGATCCATATCTTACCCCATATGCTACATTTGTATAATTGTGTAGATTTAGAATCAGAATCGGGTTTATTGCCAGGTTCATTTTTACATGAGGACTTTGCCTTGGCATAAAGTGGTGCTTACAATACACATGAAAATAAATATAAATATATTAAAAGAAAGGAGATCAAAAATGTACAAGTATACAAATATTACAATAATACTATTATTTCATTATTTATGGAAAGCCCAGATATTATTTTTTTACCATAGAAATAGGCTATAGGCTATATTTCATCTGTTGAAAGAAGAAAATAAATAGGCTGACACTGTTTTTTTTAAAACAGAAATAATGAATTGTTAAACTCTTGCTCACGGGTGGTCTGTGTACTATTACCGGCTTATATTTATCCATTAGGCATATGCATAACGTATTTAATTTAATCATGATTTTTTGCATCTAATGTTGTATCACCAACAAAATTTTTATGACTGTAACGTTGTTATGTCATGGGCTACAGTGCTGGCACCTGTGAGGAAAGGGATAGTCTACTTTATTGATCACTTTATTTATTTTTAGACTTAACAGACTATAGCCTAAAAAATTCGAATCAATTTGAGAATTTATTTTCACATATTAGGCTATTTCCAAAAAACAACAACAACCAAAAAAACACTCCTGCAGCTAATCGGCGCTGTTGGTGAATTATTTACTGATTGCTGTGCTCGTTGTGAGGAGTGAGTAATGAGCTGACAGCCCTAAGCAAATCCAGTGTGAGTGAGTGGAAATTGTTTTATGTTGCCTGCCGTGGGCTAATTATTAGGTCGGATTACATTTGGCCAGAACGTCAGTGTGTGTGTGCGTGAGTGTGTGCGCGCGAGTTTGCGTTCCAATTCCATTGACTTTGATACGTGACAAAGTGCTTTCA